GTGCTATTAATTTTTAACATGGGTCTTTGCAAACTACTTTTTCTCCTTCAATGGGGGGAAGTAATCCAGGAACTGCTTAGGTCTTGCCTCTGCTCGCTCTATAGGCTATGCAAATTTCTTTTGTTGCGTGGCTCCTATTGGAGTGGCCTAGGCTGACCTCTCCAGTTTCTGCATAGCCCTGCACTCCGTAGGACTTCTGGAGCTCCTGCTCCAAGCCAGAGGAATTAAAATAAAATATTATTTAAAAAGAAAAAAAATCTCAACAGACAGCAGAAGAACTTCCCTCCCCTCCCTGCAGACTCCAAAACAACAAGGGGTTACTGCTGAGGACCCAGGATGGGAGGAAGATGAAGACGAAGAACGGTCCCCTCCACCTTCTAAGGCACCGGAAGGAGGATAAGAGGCCCCGACGGAGGCCCCCGTGGAGCTGCAGCACAGCACTCCTGGGGTACCGGGAGTCAGGCTGCAAGACAGGCAGCGGCTAGAGGAAGCACCGCTGCAACAGCCGGAGGACGGCAGCTCCACCAATGCGGGGCCGGCTGAATGCAAGAGCCAGCCGGCCCCCGCACACCCCCCCCGCATGTGTTCCAAGATGGCGACGGCCAAACAAAGAATGGCGGCAACGGGACCCAGCGGTCGACGCCTTCGGGCTCCTGCTCCCAGCCGTGACAAGAAGACGGCGCACTTGGCGGGCGCGGTGGCCTGCAGCGTGGAAGAGCGAAACGGCGCGGGAAAAGCACAGGGCCGGCGAGCCCAGCCGGTGAGCTCATTCCGATGGGGGGGGGGCTGACAGAGGAGGCTTCCAAGGGAGGCGCGCTGGGACTGCACCAGTTTCTGCCCAGCGGCCTGGGACCGGTGCCAGTCCAAATCTTTGCCCCGGGACGTGGCCACAGGCAAGCGTCGTGCATAGGCCGATGCAGTCACTCCAGTCCCATCCCTTTCCACCCGCTCCGCCGCCTGGTCCCCAGTTAGCGTGGGGCATAGGCGACGCAGGGACGGGCTGCTTCATGCCCCGCCATCCCTTCCACCTGCTCCGCCATCGGGTCCACAGCCAACGTGGGGGATAGGCGATGCGGGGACGGGCTGCTTCACGCCCCGCCATCTCGTCCATCTGCTCTGCCACTGGGTTCCCAGCCAGCACGGGGCATAGGCGATGCGGGGACGGGCTGCTTTATACCCCGCCATCCCTTCCACCCACTTTGCCGCCGGGTCCCCAGCCAGTGCAGGGCATAGGCAACGCGGGGACGGGCTGCTTCATGCACTGCCATCCCTTTCACCCACTCTGCCGCCGGGTCCCCAGCCAGCGCGGGGCATAGGCGACATGGGGATGGACTGCTTCATGCCCCACCCTTTACCACCGGCCCGCCTCAGAGGTGGCCGGTAATGGGGGCCTCCTGGCCTCTTCCACAATGCCCATGGATCGGGGGTGCCAGGTGGGGGGGGCACAGCCCAGTACACGACAGGGACGGGCTCCAAAAAAGAAGAGGGCACCGTTCCTCGACATTCCAGTCCTCCTCAAGCTCCAGATTCCCATTGAATCCTAAGAGACTCAGGGATCACGGGATACTCGCCCGAAATGAGGCATTTTGTAGCCTCTGAAGGAAAAAGTTAACAGGAACAGCTAATGTGCCCAAGGGACTGGGCCGGCCACAGTCAGGTGGTAACCCTGGGAGGGAACGCCTCAACAACATTACTTTGATGTAAGCGGAGACAGCCTTCACCATTACCTCTCTGGGCAGCAATGAGAAGGAGGGAGAATGGTCAGAGGATGGGACAGAAGTGAAACCACATCTTCTCACTGCTCAAAACTGAGCATTTGCAACGGCTTTTAACGAAGTCATTTCCACTCTAAACTACCCAATGGAAAGGAGGGAGAAGCCAAGGTCGTCATCATTTGCAAACCTAGATCCTAGAGACTTTTTAAAAAACAAAACCCTATTAAGCTTCATACCCTTGCACTTTTACCCTGGGAGCAGGAGCTCCCTCGTGTCAATAGCAAAGCGACACTATACACTGCTGAAGGGTATCATGGAGGTCCTGAAGGTGCCACAGTTTTAGGCTCCGGTAATGGCACTCGGGGCGAGGCTCCCCGAGGACGGGAAGAGTTCGCAACAGATGCATCACAGGACAATGTCCAGTGCGCCAGGCCGCAGGCGGCCAACATCATCACCTGCCACTACGTCTGGCTTAAACATTGGACAGTGGACACCTTGTCCAAGAGCAGCTTAGCAACGGAGAGATTTTCAGGGAGGCTTCTCTTTGGAAAACCAAATCTAGATAAGGCCCTAATAGAGACTAGGGAGTAGAAGAAGAACTCCATTCCGTCATCCACCAATGGTCACTAGTGAGAATCTAAATCTAGAACTTCCCATTCCTTTCGGGGTCACTGTCACCCGGGACGGGATGGCAGAGACCACAGACCATTCAAATATTTCAAGTACGGCGCACAGCCGATAAGGGCGCCCTGCCAAAACTGCAGTCGGCCTGACTACCAGATCGGGGGCCAGCTCCAGGCCTTCGCATGGACTTGGAGCCTGACCACCATGGACCAGGGGGTGTGGACGATCATTGCCCAGGGCTACTGAATAGAACGCAAGGGCTCACCCCCTCACAGCTTCCCCCATCACCAGCACTAAGACACTAAGAACGGCTACAATGGCTGCAGGAAGCAATTCTACATCTTCAAAACATAGGCGCCATAGACGTAGCACTGCAAGGGGAATGCTCCAAGGGAGTATTCTCCGTCCTGGTCATTGTCCCAACAAAGTCAGGGGACTGGAAAGCGGTACTGAACTTGCAAGGACTATACAGATGGGGGGGCAAGAAGGAAGTTCCAGAGGGAGTCCATCTACAACATACTGCAGGGGCTGCAGCAGGGAGACTTCCTGATCTCCACGAACCTCTAGAAGGCATATTTGCATTTCTCCATACGCCCTTCCTCTCGACATTTACTGTGCTTCAGGGATCATCATGTCCAGGACAAGGCCTTATCTCTCTTTGGCCCCCAGAGTTTTCAACAGGGTTATGGCTACTCTAGTAGGCACCTGGCGACTGGAAGGGATCCACATGCCCTGTGTCTGGACGACGTCCTTATACGAGCGGGGGGTTACCGAAGGCAGTCGCAACTCCCAGAGGCCACGGGAGTTCCGGTGTGTGCACGGCTTCCTCATCAAAGAGGAGAAGAGCCACCTTACACCCATGCAAGACCGTGCATCCAGGTGCAAGGCTGAACACAAGGTAAGCCACGGTTTCGCTCCCAGGGGAGAAACAGCAGAAGATTCGGATCCGAGTGACGGGGGCCAGACCCAAGGAATGAGGAGTCTTCATGCAGTTTGCTGTGTGGTGGGGCCTGATAATATCGACGATCGACTTGGTCCTGTGGTCACGGCTCCACACCAGGCCTTGCAGTGGACTCTGCTTCCATTCCAGCAGGACATCGCAAACAAAAACAAAACAAAAAACCCCAAAAAAGGTCTCCGAAGGGCTGCAAGGGCACAACCATCAAAATTGAGCAACACCGGTCGCTTCCTCCAGCCCCAGCAACTGGTGATTGCCACAGATGCGAGCAAGAGAGGCCGGGGGGGGAGCACATTGTGATCACCTTGTCACATAGGCCTGGTGGCCCCCGGGACATGCGCCCTGCAGCATCAACCGGCCAGAACTTTTGGCAGTCATACTAGCACTGAGAGCATTCCAGCGCCATGCACAGAACCAGTGCGTCCCAGTAAGAACAGACAGCATGTCCACAAAAGCGTACGTCAACCAGCAGGGAGGCACCGGGTCGAGATCCCCATTTGCAGAGACCAGAGCCCTGCTAAGATGGGCAGAGAAACACACCGTAAGCATCAAGCCGGAACACTTAAAAGAACTAGCCAACCTCCAGGCGGGTCTTACAGCAGGTGGTGGAGACGTAAAAATAAATAAATAAAAAACAAAATAAAATAAAATAAAAATAAAAAACAACAATGCGTTAAAACCACAAAGTGGAATCAGTCACCAACCCCGGAAGAATAGCTTGGGTACCGCTAACCCGTTCCTGGATGACTTCTCCCCACTGAAGGAGAACAGTACATTGGACCTACCTGAGGGTTCTTTCTCTTCAGTGGGGAGAAGTCATCCACATCCCACCCAAATTGGATACCAGAAATAGACCAGGGTGGCAAAAATATGGACTGCAACAGCACAACTTACAAATACCGTGGACTGAAACAAAGATATGAGATGAGTAATCCACAGCCAGGGCTTGGACATAACTGGAGAGGTCAGCCTAGGCCACTCCAATAGGAGCCACGCAACAAAAGAAATTTGCATAGCCTATCGAGCGAGCAGAGGCCTGACCTAACCAGTTCCTGGATGACTTCTCCCCCACTGAAGAGAAAGAACCCTCAGGTAGGTCCAATGTACCTTTTTTTTTAAAGCCCCAAATGCATATTGTAGTGCTAAGTTTTCAGTGGGGGAAGAGAATACACATCCACAGTTAGGCCAGGTGGGCTGGTGGCTCTGTGTAAGGCAACTTCATATGCTCAACTTAAGCAAATGGTTGGTGAGAATCAATAAAAGGAATTCTTATTTATTTTATTATTTTATTGTCTTTACTGTTTTTTTCAACCGGAGTCATAAACAGCAACCAAATGGTTATTAATGTGTTCTAAAGAAGTAATGATGAGTGTTCAGTGGCAGGCTGTGTGAATGCTTTTAAAGTGCCACATCTTAAAGCAGCAGGGGGAAAATGGTAGCGTGGGAGGGCACACAACTCTAGTGTTGGTATTTTTTAAAACCCCTTAATTTTCTTTGTTTACACCCAAACTCAGCTTCTGTGTAGTAGGCTAAGGTCGGTTACTCTTAATTTGCAGTGCAGGGGATTGACGGAGAGATGCAGCGGCTGAACTGGGAATTTGAGGTGCTTTTTTTTCCAGCCTATCGTTTTAGCTGCAGGGCCATACCAGTTTTCATGGTGCTGGGTTCTAAACCTGCCACATTTCTTTTCTCTCTCTTTGCAGATCTGCAATTGGTTCATCAATGCCAGGCGCAGGCTTCTTCCTGACATGCTGCGGAAGGACGGCAAGGACCCCAACCAGTTCACCATCTCCCGTCGAGGCGCCAAAGCCAGCGATGTAGCGCTGCCCCGTGGCGCTGTCACCAGCTCTGGCTTGTTGATGGTGCCTCCTGCCACTGCGGCCACTGCTGCCTCCAAGGTGCTGTCCATGTCGGTGTGCCCCTCCATGATCTGCCGCGCTGCACAGCCTCTGGCCAGCAGCTTGACTGTTGTGACGAGTGAGCAGGAGAAGCAGTCTGCATTCCAGCGGGTTGAGCTGGATTCTCACCCCAAGCAGCCGCAGCTGAGTGCAGCTGGCAACACCTTGGCCCTTCTGACCAGGGCAGATGCAGCCAGTCCCACCAATGGACTCTTCAACACGCCCCCTCCGACGCCGCCAGAGCTCTTTGGAGAGGACTTCAGTAGCTTCCAGCTGCTGGTGGAAGTGGCCTTGCAGAAAGCAGCTGAGCTCGACTCGGAGAGGTTGAACGGGCAGCTCCCCCCCTTGCTGCAGAGGGAGTCTCCCTCTGCTGTCCTCTCTGGAAAGGCCAAGTAGCCCACTCCAGCCTAGTTCCTCATTGGAGGGTCTCCTTTCTTCTTCCAGGTTCTTTTTTGGGGGGTTGGCCTCTGCAGCGAGGGGCCGCCTACCAGATGTCAACACTGTGATACGGCTTCCTCTCACCCCGGAGTATGGCCAAAGAAGCCTGCCTTGTTTTTGGCGCTGTGCTGCCAACTCACCTCTGAAGCCAGCCACTTGACTTGACCTTACAAAACACTCTTCCCTCCAAAGACAGTGCAGCATCCTTTGCTTGACAGAAACGCTTTGGGTCCTACGAGTCCCTTCCTCTTGAAGCCGTGTGGAAGACACCATCTTTGGCCAGGCACACTGGAATCACGCACAGAAGGTTCTTGAAAGGGCTCAGGCGCTCTGAGAGAACACTGTTGCTGGTTGATATGTTTTTACTGGGACTAGTTTTGCTGTGGAGGAAGTACGCAGAGTCCCTCCCCCACTTTCTCCCCCCCCCCAAGCTCGTTGACTTTATGAAAAAGAACAAAAAAGGGCCTCTCTGGTAATAGAGAGAGAACATCAAAAACAAGTATTGTTTTTAAAAAGAAAAAGAATTGCTGTGTGCTTTCCTGTCGGGCCTTCCTGATGTGTATTGCTTTTTGAGGATTTGGGTGTGTGTGATTTTTTTGTTTTGTTTTGTTTAACTGTGGCATTTCTTTGCAACATACTCTCTGTATGGTGTGACTGACATTGGCTGGTTCCTTGCTTCACATCCAGTGAGAGTCCCTGTGACGATCAGATGACCTGGAAATATTAAACGTTAGTGGCATTGTTTCCCTGCACATACATGGGGGGAGAGTGGGGACATAACCCTGTGAATATTGATGCCAGTAATATGGGTATGGTGCTGTTGAACAATTTTGTAGGTGCTGGCAGAAAGGTACCTGTTTTCGGGGGCGGAGACTAACCCCCTTTCTTCTTCTCTATGGTGCTCTCTTCTCTTTCTGTTTTCTCCTACATGGTGTCCAGAGATCTGCAGGTGGGACCACAGATCTGTGGTGGGACAGTGCTGACCAAAAGCAGTAGAGGGCATTTTTTTGGGGGGGACAGGAAATAAGATTGCAGACTGTGAAGTTGCTTTAACTCCCCCCCCCTCCTCCTTCATTGGACTGTCTACTGCCTTGCAAGTAGAATATGACTTTCATGAGGGCATTCCCTGGAAATCTGAGGTGTCTTTAAGGATGCGCTGACAAAAAAACAAAAAACTACCTATTTGAAATGCATCCCAGTTCTTGTTTTGTATCCTTGCTTTCATCATGCTGAATGTAGTTACTCCTTTGCTGATGGAGCAAGGGTGCCCTCTAGAGGCCAGGAAGGGAAGTCAAACGGAGCAGGGTCTTCCATGATGAATCACAACTCCGCTGGCAGGCTAAAGCTGACCCTGAAGGTGAAGTCTCTTTGTGAATTATTTGAAATGTACAGTGTATCTGCAGCCCTGATAGAATTTTATGCCCAGCGATAGCACAGAGTTGCGTATTAGAGAAGTATGTCTTGGGATTTAGGGGAGGACAGCTGTGGTGGCTGATTTGCTTGTTCAGCAGTTATGTCCATCTTTTGTTGCATTTATACCGCCTTTGCCCTGAGACCACAAGTGTGTGCAAAACATGGAGTAACCTGGGCAGCATGATTCAAGTTGCCTGTTCCGAATAGTGCTGTTTCACTGTAAATGTAAGTTAAATAGTGATCTATATATATACATCTATATATCTATCTTGAGAAACACTAATTTTAGAAGGCCTTAGCCTAATTATTATGTTGCATGAATAGTAAAGATAAGCCCAGGAGAATGCAACTTTCAGATTATTTTAAAACCAGGTGTATGGACCTGATGTTGATGGGAATCTTGGCGATAAGGAAGGCAAGCAGTGAGCACATTGGGGAACTGGAACCAGGAGGGCAAGACTACTTCATTTTAAAAACCATAATTCAAAAAGTGCCTTCTTTTTCAGCAAAACATGGGCTTAAGGGCTAAGATTGGTGCAACCTGTATTTGCTGCTGCTGGGCAAACGGTTGGCCATTTCAGCCTCCACAGTGCCATCAAGCAGAGTTACACCCTTCTAAGCCCGTCGATTTAAATGGGACCACTAGGGTATAACTCTACTTAGGGCCACACTGTTTGTCTCTCTGTAACTGTGTTTAGAAGCGGCCGTTCTTAATGCTAAGGCTGAAGCCTTACAAATCCAGTTCCCACAATGTACTGCTCCTTGTTGACCACAGTGACTACACTGCTGTACCTTTTTTTTTTTTTCCCCCTCCGAATGAGGTGGAGATGCTGTTTTAGATGGGACGGAAAGTTTAAGACAGAAAATATTCTTTTGACTGTAGTTTATGGAGCAAAAAAAAAACTACTGTAAATAACTTTTTGGATTTTTTTAATCAATAAAGTTTTTTTAAAAATACAGCATATTTAGTGAGAGGTGAATTTGTATGTTTGAGCCCGAGTACTGAAACCATTATTTGAAATACCTGTGTGTTTCAGGTAGATCAAGTTTCCAGCAAATCTGTTAAAGACACGTGTCAATACACTTGAAATGTTTAAATCTGGTGGGGTTTTTTTTAACCTCAGTAGACCTAATAGTAAGGGCCATAATGAATTTCTTGTTAACTGCCCTGTCATTTTCGTCACCCTAGTGCTTTCTTAGTGTAAGAAGCAACATCAAACGCCCGGCAAAAGGAGTGTTTGGCCGTTGGTTCATAGTCATTGGTTCTCTGAGCTAGAAATAGACATGGTACGCAAGGGGGCAGTGTTCACATTGTAATCCTCAAAGGAAAAGGTGCTGGTGATCCACAGGCAGTATGTATTAGAGCAGAAACCAGCAAGCCTGTTAAGAGCTTCAAGCTGGAGTATCTCTGTTGACTTTCGCTGTGGACTGTGCTGCTTCCTTTCCTATCCAAACCAGTTTCTTACGGCTTCCCTGGTAGCATTACTACTGCTGTAGAAGAAGCAACATCCTCTTATTTTCTTGTGCTCCCTCCCTGGCTATACACTGACAGGGAGGGAGACATAACAGAAGTTCTTTGCCATTGCCCGCACAGGAAATCGGAGTTCTTCTCGGCAGTGTAGTCCACACCTTTGCCGTGATGTGGGTGTAATTGATGCATCCTTTGGCCCACGGGAGGCTGTGGTGGGAAGAGTCTATTGTCCTTTCCAATACTGAAGGCCTAATGAAGCAGCCAAAAAACTGTTAATGGAGATGGTCCACCCCATATGATCGGGAAGAAGGTGGCCCCCTGAACATAACAAGTAGATGGCTGCTGCTGAATTAAATTGAGATGAATTCTTACAGATGGTATTCTTAAATCCCACCTGTCCCCTTCTCCTTAGGCAACATCGATGTCACAATGGGGTGTACTTAGCTTCCCCCCCCCCGCCCGCTGGTTGCTGGTCCATTCTTAGCCTTGCCTAGCACCATTTAGGCTGAAGCCAGGAGAGGTTTAAGTGAGCAGCTGACATTCAAGTAAATCTTGCGGTTTCTTTGAGAGATTCTGTTCTCTGGTTGAAGATGGTCATCCTGGTAGTTGTCCACTTCTAAAGTGTCCCCCTCCCAGTCTGGAAATGGTCATGTATTGGAAGCAGCCCAGAGCACCTTTCACCAGCTGCATCCTTTCTTAGCGAAATCTGACCTGGATACAGATATGTGTGTGAGTAATATCCAGACTTGATTACTGCAGCCGTTTGCATGTTTCACTTGGCCCAACATGGCTGCTAGTTTCCCTAACAGGAACAGCCATGGGAAGCCTGAGTTATATACCAGCTATACTGGCTTCCAGTATTTTCTGGTCTTAATACAAGGTGCTGTTTTTGACTGTTAAACATCCTAAATACGTAGCTTATGCCTACAATATTAGGTCTGCCTCCATCACTACCAAACAGCCAACCGGAGCCTTGAGATCAGAAACCTTCCTCTAGGAACCAGCCTTAGCGGAAGGAAACAGAAAGGGCTGCTCTCCTCCAAAATGCCAAGTTTTCTCTGGAAATGAGAGCAGCTGGTTCCTTAAAGCCTTCTGGATGGGTCTGAAGACCTGCCTTTTCTGGAGGGCCCTTGAGTTGCATTAGTGAGTAATGGCACCACAGAGGGGAAATTTAATTGTGTTGGCACAGCTGAAAAATTGCTGTGGGATGCCTTCATTTTATTGATCTTCCTGCGGATTGCTTTTCAGCCTTTTAGCTAAGATCAAATGTATATTTTGCTTCCTGTGTTGTAAATTTGCTTTGGGGACTTTAAAAAAAAAAGCTAGGTGGTCTATAAATAAATCCCCTTGAAAGACAGAAGGAAACAAAGTAGCAGGTTGAAACAAGGAGCCCCAAGTAGCTAGCATTCCAAAATAGACAGCATGACAAACAGCTTTTTAGAATGATGGCAACTGATGGCTTCTAAAGGTTTGCACTCTGTTCCAGACAAAAGAGGCACCTTTGCTGCCTCTTATTTGTGAAGCAAGTCTGGGCTTCAGCCAGCAGAGAGGAAGTACTTCCGAGGGCCCCACTGCCAGACTGCACCTTCCTGCAATTCTACTGCAGGGAGGCAATGCTAAATGTGAATGTTATGGCATTCTTTTCCTGGATAGTTGGGTATGAAAAAAATATATACAGACGTGTGCTAGATACCCAAAGAATAATACAATGACAAAAGAGACTATATTAAAGCCATAACATTATTTAGTGTCTGGTAATGAAAAACAACCACTTATTCCTTCATAGAAAAAATACAAAGGTCAATAAAATTACACATAGCAGTCTGCTCCAACCTCTCTCAGTCAATATCCTTCTAACAGTCTTGTATTCTCGAAAGCATTCTGCTCCAAATTCAGTCTCTCTTTTCAACAGACACTAAATGATGTTATGGCTTTAATATAGTCTCTTTTGTCATTGTATTATTCTTTGGGTATCTAGCACACGTCTGTATATATTTTTTCATACCAGACTGTCTTGGGATTCTTTTCCTAGATACCTTATCTGTTTTAATCATGCCTGTTGCCTTGAGCATGTCTGGCTATGGAAAAGGGTGTTGGGAGCTAGACACTCTTAAGATGTAACCCTTGCAAAGAGCAAGTGTGCAAGATGCGTGGATGGGTGCTGGGAATTACTTGTCCTTCTCTAAGACAAAACCAGCAACTCCTTTCAGCCACACTCCCAGCTTGTGTGGACAGCAGCTTGTCCTTGAGGGTTGCATCTTGCTATTGCTGCAGTAGCAAGACGGAAAAGTCTTTGAGCTCATGCAGAGTGGCAGTCCCCTCACCACCACACCCATCCTTGGGAGCCAGGGATTTCTTGGCAGACTTGACCACCCAAACCTTTGCTAAGAAGCCTGTTTCCTGGTGAGCCAAGCAGACTTGGAAGCCCAACTTTAGCCGGCAGAGAAATAAGGTGGGGCTTATAAGGGCACATGGGAGGTAGAAGCAACACTGCTCCTCCAAAGTCTCCCCTGCTACTTCCTTCCAAGTTCCCAGGA